AGATCTCTCAATAACATTAATAATCGAGTTAAGAATAACCAAATTATAGTGTTTTAATGAACAAAGTGATGAACACTCAAGAATAAATTATGAACATTAAAAAACAATCTTGAGCGTCAAAGGTTTCACTTTATTAATAAGAAAAACGTAAAAGCGACATTTAATACAATAGGCCTAATCACCTATTTATACTAGCAAGCTAATTAGAAGATAACTATCTAGTGAGACTGTTTAGCTAATCTTTTATTAACAGATAAAGTTTATCTAAACTATGGATAAGCTATAATTTTAAGATAAACTTGAAATTCAGCTGTCGACTTGTCATCTCCAGCTTTCTTTCATGGGATGATGAATCAACCTTATCTTCATATCTTCATCGTATGCCTCTGGTTGAATTGTTGAAGAAAACTCTAAGTGTTGTTGACCAGAGGGGTGATGAAGATGCTCTTTCCATCGCATCTTTGGTTGTTCATCGACCCTCTGGTTGTTCTCCAAACTTGGTCAATTATTCCTTTATGTCTTCATCGATCTTCTAGTTCTTCATCACTTATTGTTTTTCATTACTTTTACACTTTATAGATTATGGGGTCTAACAGATGGCGAACAGAGTGATCGTGTAGACGATGGAGACCTTGGTGAAACATAGAGCCAAGAGTGACTTTGAGATTGCTCTTCGGCTTGGCATCGACAAACTTTCCTGCACTCCACCCGATGAAGACTTCCCTGGCCTGCAGAAGAAGAGGTCTGCCTCTGTCCTTACTCAACCAAAAATGGGTCTGGTATATAAAAATGAGTTTGGCACAAAGAAATTCTTTAGGTTGACTAAGGCCTTCAAGTATTCAAATGAAACACTTGAATGGTTTCAGAAAGCCATCAGAGACAGGTTAGGCAGACCTCATGTGTCGATAGACGATGGACAGAGACTGATTCATGAGATATCTACAGTCGTCCAATACAGAGGACTACTTATGCGCTTTTAGGATATATCACAAGGGAGACCTTGAATGTAGTCTTATGTTTTTGTCTTGTAATTTCTATTTCATCGATGTAAGAATTCATCATTTGTTCCAATGAAAATTTGGCAAAAGATGATTTTCTTTAGAATAGCCTTTGTTCTTCACTTATACTTTAAATGTTCCTAGATTAGTTAATGTTTGTTCTTTTATTACTTAGGGGGAGATTGTTAGACCCCATAAGTATTATGCATGAAGTAATGAAGACAAACAAGTGATGAAGAACCAGAAGGCTGATGGAAGACTTCAAGGAAAAATGACTAAGTCTGAAGAACAACCAGAGGATCGATGAATTGACTAGAGATGCGATGGAAAGTGCATCTTCATAACCCCACTGGGCACTAACACTTGGAGTTTCCTTCACCAGTTCAACCAGAGGCAAGCAATGAAGATATGAAGATAAGGTTGAACTCATACCCCATGGATGACAGCTGGAGATGACCAATCAACAGCTGGATTCTATAAAGTTTATCTTGTTTTAATGTTTATCCATGTTTTAGATAAGTTTTATCTGTTAGTGGAAGATTAGCTAAATAGTCTCACTTGATAGTTATCTTCTTATTAGATTACTAGTATAAATAGGTGGTTAGGCCTATTGTAATCTTTGATACTTTTACGTTTTTCACAATTATTGGAATAAAGTGAAATCTTTGACACTCAAGTTTATCCTTTGAATGTTCATACATTGTTCTTGAGTGTTCATCATTTTATTCATTCAAACACTATAATTTGGTTATCCTTAACTTAATTATTAGTGTTATTGAGAGATCTGGGATCAACACTTTAGCTGAGACATCTGTTGGTCGGTGGGAACGCTGGAGGTTGGCTAAATGTTCTTTCTTTTCACAATCAAAACATATAGAGGTAGCCTTGTCAATCCGGGTTGATTTAGGTTTATCGGTAAGAGCACAACTTGTGTTTCCACGAAAGTTACCCTTTCTAACAAACCTACTCAAAGAGTTAGTTAGAAGGGCCAGATTCATCAAAATCTGAAAGGTTAAAGCCAGTGATATCATCAGCAGGATACTAAAGAAGACATGGTTCATTATCAGTGATAGAAAGAGTGTTTTCTGAGGAACTAGTCTTTGAAGAAAGTAAATCTAAATGAGCACTTTTAAGATCTATTATGAGATTCTTTTTAAGAAGTCCAGATTTCTCATGATTCAGCAATATGCCAAATAGAGCATTGAGTGACGTGTTTTGGAGGCTTTTTGAGACCTTGAGACACATTTGAATAATTGTCCCAAGATTTAGGCATACATTCCAAGAACTTTGTCAGAGTCTCAGAGTTGGAATATTCTCTACAAATAGTTCTAAAATCAATGATAAGGCAGTTAAATGTTTGTGTACCTCATATAGAGTTTCATTTTTGCGACAAATGAACATTTAATATTGTCTCACAAAATTTATCTTTCTTGTCTCCTGAACCATTGAAGTATTTTTCATACTGGACACATAGAGTATCCTATATTGCTTTTGAAGTTTTGAGGTTATGAGGGTCATCACAGACCGGTAGACTTAATGAGGAAGTGTCATAACTAAGATCGTTCTAACTTTGGTATCATTATTGACCTCCTTGATATCTTTGTCTTACCATTGGTGCACTCATTTGACAACAATGCATTCAGGTGTTCCAGGATGTGTACCAGTAGCTAGAAATGTGTCAATGGTCACAGAAGGGACGAAAGGACCATCTTTGATGTAGTGTGGCATTTAAGAATCCACACCTTCGAGGAAAAAGAGACATTTTTTTACTTTTTCCATAGAGCAAAGTTGTCTATGCTAAATCTTGGAGGTTTGGAAAGAGAGTCATTGTCATTATAGTTGTTTGTAGACATCTTAGGATCAAATTAGAAAAGAGAGATGAGAAAACACTAATCTAATACAACTTGTTGATCCCTAAAGGGTTAGTTAGACTTAAACAGTTTGTAAAGGAAGGGGATTAAATACAAAACACAACTATTTTACTTTTTAAATTATTTTATTGATTATAAAGAAGAATCAATACATATGAGTTTACAAATTATTGTGGAAGAATAAAATGAATAATCCCAGTCTAAACAATCTTACTCTGATCTTTGAGAACAAAGAACATCTGAAGAAAAAAAAGTAGAAATCACAAATGTTTCTTGCACAGAATACACAGTAAGATAAGAACAAGATAGAAAGAAAATATCAAAGATGAGAGAACGTTAGTGATAAGGAGAATTTTCTCAGCTATTTATACCTTATGCATTAAGTGTACTTTAGTAGGTACAATCCACGTGTCATGAGGGGAGTTGATTTCATGTACTTCTTGTCATAGGGAAATGCAGACTTTGGTCGCATATGAACAGTGTTTCAGGGAGTTGGTGAGCATAAAGAGAAAATTAAAGTAAACAGTAATGTACCTTCTATCAAAATGAAGCATGGGGTTTTGATTTTTGCAAGAGAGGATAAGACAAACAAGTTGATACGCAAGATATTGATCCAACAATGAAGTAGTCGTTGAGGACCTCTTCAGATATCACTTGATAACTTGAGTAAACTTTCACATTTCTTATAATTTAGTTTCACTGAATGTCGCTTCAGATCATGTCTAATTTATTATTATCTTCAACTACTTCTTCGACATCGTTGAAGTTCCTTTGATGTGAGATTTTCTTGGAGGACTTAAGTTCTTAACCATTAATTACAAAAATACTCAGTAAGCACTGAACAGACTCACTTGTTGATATTTTTTCAAATAAAGAGGATCGTTACCAAATCACTGAGAAAGTTTGGATCAACAAAAACAAAATTAAGGGTTTATAAACTAAATATATTTATCTAATTATATAGAAAAATATTTATATTGGAAAACATATATAGTTTCAAAAAAAGTTTGAGGTTGTCAATTTTGTATCAAGACAAACCAATCAATTAATGTACCAACCCTACCAATTTAATTGGTACTAATTCATTTGGTATCAATGTAATTGGTTGATGGTAGTTTCGTACCAATTATCTAAACTTGGTTGGGATGTGATATTAGAAGTCGTGTACCACGATACGATTTATTTTCTAATTATTTATTAATTAAAGTTTAATCAATAGTACACCATATTTTGATTTTTAGAATTTCAGTTAGTTTATTTTCAGTTTTGCTAAATTATAATATGGATAGATATAAATAAAAAAAAACTTGATTGAATTCATTCATTTAACCCTAACAATCTTAATAACTCGCCCACACATCCACGATCCATCATCGCTCCTCAATGGCCACTTGTATTGGAGTAATAGTGAATATTTGTATTATATAAAAGTTACTTGGAGTAATAGTGAATATTTGTATTATATAAAAGTTACTTGAATGCTTGTATAGATTGAGATAAATGGTGCAACACATATCAACATGTTATTTAAATGATTGATGGTTTTAGTGCATCTAGATTTAATTGTTGAAGCTGTCAATATAGATAAATTTGTAACTTCAACTTTGACGATGTTGATACAAAACCGTACTAATATGTACCATCAAAAAAAGTTGGTACCAAGTATAATTGGTTGATACATGATATAAAATTTTATGTACCAATTTTATTTGATTTATATACCGTATCATGAAAAAGAATATGATACGATGTCTTGTCCATCTCTAAAAAAATATCAAACATAATATCCCGTCAACATCATATACTAACATAAATATTTTTTGAAATACAATTCATTAAAATTTAGGTTTTTAAAAATAATATCCCAAAATATAAAATCAAATCGAAATACATTTTTCATACATAATTTAATATAACCTTAAAATTTTATAGCAATTTGGTGATATAACATGATTCACTTCAAGAAGTGTTTAATACCAAACTTGGCCAAACACAACTTGCAAAGTCTTGAATATTTCAAAATTAGTTGGAAACTCACCAAAGTGAACTTGTATAAATATGGACTTGGATTTCATCTATTTCTCGTACCATTTTCCACACTTTCTTTTATACTTTCAAAGAATCAAAAACCATACTCAAAGTAAAATATAACATCAAGATCATGGTGGGCATCAAAACCATTGTTATAGTTTTATGTTTGCACGCAATGTTGTTATCGATGGTGACTGAAGCTGCATCTCGTAACAAGGTTAAGCGTGTCAAGCCTCCTAAACCCGTCAAACCTCTACAGGAGCTTTTAACATGTAAGAGCCGCAGAAGCCGGTGTTTCATGAAGCGCGTCAAGTGTCCGCTCGAATGCCCAAAGGTTAAACCCAAAAACCCTAAAGATAAAGCTTGCTTTCTCGACTGTTATTCACCAAAATGCGAGGCTGTATGTAAATGTAAGTAAATCATAATTACTATAATGTTTCTTGTTTACTACAATAAAATCATGTTTATAAGACGTTGAAGTTGTCTAGATGTTCTAATTATAGACTACTTTATGGTACTTAAATTTATAGGACCAAACAATTGTGCAACTTATATAAAAACGTTGCAATAAGGTTACATGACGATTTTGGACGTACATTTTTGAAATAAAGTGTTGTATATGTTTGTTTTTTGCATGACATATTTGATAAGTGTCTTATTGACACATATTTTATAAGAAACTTTTTCAAATAATGTCATATAAAAAAACTAATACAACACTTTATTTTAAAAACATCCTAAAAATTTGTTAAATATCCAAAAACATCTTATAAACTTATTGCAATAATTTTACGTAGGATGAACAAATGTTTAACGAGTCTATTTAGAACACTTGCAATATTCTTACGTCCTATTTTGTTGTACGTAGTGTTTTTTCTTGAAATTAAGTTCATGAAAGGTGCAGAATTTTTATATGAATATATGTGTCGTTCATTTACCAGCACGTAAACCAAACTGCAATGGACCTGGAGCTGCATGCTACGATCCACGATTCATCGGTGGAGATGGAATCGTATTCTATTTCCATGGGAAAAGCAATCAGCATTTTAGTTTGATATCTGATTCCGATCTTCAAATTAATGCACGTTTTATTGGATTAAGACCTGAAGGCAGACCTCGGGATTATACATGGATCCAAGCATTGGGTCTCAAATTTGGTCATCATAATTTCACCCTGGAAGCTACAAAAACAGCGAAATGGGACGATAACGTCGAACATCTAAACTTATCATACGATGGAACGGAATTGGTGATTCCAGAAGGCCATTCTTCTGAATGGACTTCAACCAATGGCGATATACAAGTTGAAAGAACTTCAACGACCAATAGTTTAACGGTTCATATACCTGATGTTGCTGAAATATCTGTTAATGTGATTCCAGTATCAGAAGAAGATAGCAAGATACATAACTATCAGATTCCTGCAAACGACAGCTTTGCTCATTTGGAAGTACAATTCCGATTCTTGGGGTTATCGTCTAAAGTTGAAGGGATTCTTGGGAGAACTTACCGGCCGGATTTTGAGAATCCGGCGAAACCAGGAGTGGCAATGGCTGTTGTTGGCGGTGATGACAAGTACAAGACGAGTTCACTTCTTGCCACAGATTGCGCACTATGCGTTTTTGATCCCAACGAAATCAAAAATGGAGATGGGGCAAGGGTGATGGAATACGGCATGGTGGATTGCACCAGTGGAGGGAATGGAATTACATGCAAGAAATAAGTCATCAATTTCATTAAATGGTTCTTATTTATTAATTATCTGAAAGTATTTTATCATTAATTTGTCTTGAAAATGTGTGGTTTATTGTTTCTTCAGTTCTTTGTGTGGTGTAATTGGCTATGGTAGCCTTTGAATAAATGGGATTATTTATTTTGTCTTTGATTATCAACCTAACAAATATATATAAATTGGTTTAATTTAATGGACTTTTTATAGGATTTACAACAATTATAAATGTTACAACAGGTTAATAATACGTCTTTTAGATGTTCTAACGTAATATTTACAACAAGTTTAAAAATAAAATGTCTTATTATTTTTTTATACAACATTATTCAAAAAGTATGTTGTAAAAAGATGTATTTATAGTCACTTTTAAAAGATATACCACAACAAACTTATGAGACACTTTGTTATAACGTGACATAACATATCATTTCGTATACAATATATATATATATACACACACATGATGGGATCCAACACTTCCTATAAAATTAGTAACTTGTTATAAAAATAGAAAAGAAGTTTGTAGAATTTCCACTAAGAGAAAGAAATTTAAATGGGTATGCAATTTATATAACTTATCTTTGCTTTGCTTGTGGGTTTCCCAAAGATTTGATAAAATGGTGCTTAAAAGCATGAATAAGTGTAAACTTGCACTCAATGATTTGCTTTAATATGTGTGTGTATATATATATATATATATATATATATGCACATGAAGGGATGCATGGTCAACGTTTCGTCTGGCAATTGTTTGACTTCAGAAAGACATTAAGAAAGAGAGTAGAAATTAAATGGGGAAATTGGGGTTATTGCGAATATGGTTTGGTTTGTTTGTTGGGATTGTTCTGATAAACGGAATGAATATTGGCGTTGAAGGTTGGAGCAAAGAGGGACACATGATGACCTGCAAAATTGCACAAGTATGTGTATATATCTTTGATCTATATATTTTTATTATTATTATATATAAATTCATTTAATTAAATGTTGGTGTTGTTTTTTGGGTGGGATTTAAATCAAGTAGGAACTGCTTGTACCAGAAGCAGCACATGTTGTACGTATGTTGTTGCCCGATTATGCGAACGGGGACTTATCGGCGATGTGTGTATGGGCGGACCAGATTCGGCATTGGTACCGCTATCGGTGGAGTAGTCCTCTTCACTTCATTGATACCCCTGATGATGCTTGCTCCTTTGATTACTCAAGTATACCCTTCTATTCTTCATCTCCTCTCCTCTCCTTCATTATATATACAATCCATATCATTGTATTTTCATATTTTGAATAATTAAGACCTTGAATTTTTTTTAAATAAATAAGCTATCGAACTTTTACCAATCAGTTAATATAACTTTTTTTTAGTTAAAAGGATGTAGATAACCAACTTTTAAAAGTGTGATGATTTATTTATTAAAAAATGTTCAATGACTTAATCAATCAAAATAAGAAAGTTTAATAATTTTTTCAGTCAAAAAAAATAAAGTTTACTAGTTTTCCATTTAAAATAATAGATCATGGACTTAATCATTCAAAATGAAAAAAATTGATGGTTTTTTCATTGAAAAAATAATTCAAAAACTTAATCATAAAAAATAGAATAATCCATTGGGTTTCTTTGAATTTCATCCTTTTTCTAATTATTTAAGCTACACAATTATACCATACATTAAGTTATTGCTTTTTTTCCATCAAACTTTTATTATTAAATTATTGCAATTTAATGGCCTTTTTGTACCATAATCCATACAAGCATTACAGAGTTGTACATTACAATCTATCAATGCAAAACATTTGACATCGTCTTTTCTACAATTTCGACAGGGGATTGTCACGACACACATGGACATAAGGATATGTGCGTTGCCGGAGCCATCAGAAATTTCACCTCTCAGCTCTCACATTATCATCACGGGACTTCAGATCGACGATGTAAAGTTTCATAAACATCATACCAGTAATTCCTTGTCAATATTTTATTTGATTTCAAACTTGAAAACACAGATAACATGACTGAGGCCTTGCTATTTGTATCACATTTCATGGGAGATATTCATCAGGTATTTATATAATTTTCTTTTTTTATATATTGTCTAAAAAACATAATTAAAAATTAATAATGTTATCAGCCAATGCATGTTGGATTCACTAGCGATGAAGGAGGAAACACCATTGATTTGAGATGGTTCAGGCATAAATCTAATTTACACCATGTGAGAATTTCATAATTTTGATATTATTTTTCATTTAATAAAAATAATTTCTTGAATTAAAAAAATAAAATACGAATATAAATATAAATATAAATATGCTAATTAAATTTGGAAAAATACATATAGGTATGGGATCGGGAGATAATTCTCACAGCTGCAGCAGATTTGTATGACAAGGATATGGAGTCTCTCCAAAAAGCCATTCAGACCAACTTCACTCATGTGAAATATATTTTTATTATTTTTAATTAATTTATTCAGCATACAAAATATATTAATTTTTATTTTTGAATTTGGAACATTAGGGATTATGGTCCGATGATGTGACTACTTGGAAGGATTGTCACGATCTTTCTGCTTGTATAAACAAGTGAGTTTTTGTTTGTTTTTACTTAATTAGTTTAACAAAAGTGTGTGTATCTCTCTCTCTCTCTCTCTCTATATATATATATATATATATATACATAGAGAGAGAGAGGGGGAGGGTTATGCGAAAAGTTAACTAATTCACAAGAAGACGGGAATGAGTCAATCCTAATTGAATCAATCCTATGCTTGAGTTCCGGTTACAAAGGAAGTTATGATAAGAAACGTAAGAAGTGATATTCATGACCATTTAATCAATTCTAATTGAATGTCAACACTAATAAGATGCAACATGATGCACCAAATAATTCTCTTTTAAAATATAATTAATTCATGGATGGACATTCGATTAAAAGTAATCAAGAGTTCAACCCTCTTCTCACGCTTCTGTCTTAACTTTTTTTTTTTCACGTGATCTTTTGCATATATATATATGTATGCAGTCATAAATCAGTATTTGTTTTTACTCACTCAAATTTTAAACAACGGTCGTAAATAACAAAATTAGACCATATTTGTTAGTTGATACTAAATCATCTTATTTCTTGCATGTCTTAATGTCGACTACAATTTATATCTTCTGTTCATTTATTTAAAACATATGTTTTATACGTCCTTAATTATAACAATCAAGATAAATAAATGTTTTAATAATATTGGAATTAATTTTATATATAATCCGTGGAAGGTATGCAACGGAAAGTATAAAGATGGCATGCAAATGGGGTTACAAAGGCGTTGAGGCTGGTGAAACTCTTTCAGGTGTCCTTTTTTTAAGCTTAATTTCTATTGATTTTCTATTTGTACACATTTTGATTAAAATTCCAACTACAAATTCATAAAATTTAGGGGGTATTTGGGATTGCTTATTTGACACAACTTATGCTTTTCTACAAAAACACTTATCAACTTATTATAAGTCTGAAGAGTTTAACTTCTTCAAAAACTTCTTATACCGGTTTGACACCGGTATAAGTTGTTTATCCAAATACTCAAAAGTGCTTATTACCGGTGCCACACCGGAATAAGACAATAAGTTGTTTTTATAATCAATCTCAAACACCCCCTTAATGACCCACAACAACTTAATTAGATGATTAATTAAGCTATTTATCTTAATATGACGTTTTGCTATATTTACATTTACAGATGATTATTTTAACTCGAGAATGCCGATTGTAATGAAACGCATTGCTCAAGGTGGAGTCCGATTGTCAATGATTTTAAATCGGGTTTTCGGAGGTGCAAATTCGAGTGAAGATACTTTAGTAGCTGATTAATTAATAAGTACAAATCATCATTAACCAATGTAAAGATACTCATTTAGTAGATCCATGACATTATTTGATTTTATACAGCATATGAAGTATTGATGGTTACTAAAATCATCTTCATATTCAGGTCATATTTTCTTTTGTTTTTTACGTTTATGATTTGTAGAAAAATAATGTAGCATTCTGTAATTACAAAAAACGACCAGAATATAAGAAAAGGTAAAAAAAAAAAAAGGGTTAAGAATGACCTTTTTAAAAATCAAATACATCAATGGTATCACAATGCATCATATATGTGCTTGGGCATCACATTGATGTCGTTTGTGTGGTCGATCGAAGATGTAACACAGTGGTATCACTATGCATCTTATATATGATTATGTATCACAATGTATCTTTTGTTTAACATAGTCAATATTTTTAGGTATCACAGTGGTATCATAGTGGTATCACCGGAGGCCGGAGAAGGGTGGCCGGAGAGAGAAGAGAGGAGAGTTTTAAAATACCAAAAATATCCTTGYATTAAGATTTTAATTTAAAATTACCAAATTTATAAATTTCTTAATTTATCTATTGATTTGTGGTTAATATTGGTTCTCACAGTTACCACAAACAACTCAGTTCTCCCTTGAATAGGCCCCTATATATATATATATATATATATATATATATACACACATATATATGTAAAGTATAAATATATTTGATTTTCAATATTGATAATTAATGTAGTGACGGGTTCTTATAATCTTAAGAGTAAATTGCAAATTTGGTCCCCGTGATTTGTTGATTTTCTTGGTTTGAGTCCACATAAAATTTATTGCAAAAATAAACTATATGGTATGCAATCGAGCTTCTCGATTTTGGTTTTTGAGGCTAACACCGTTGGATTCCCTTAAGTTAAACCCACTTATGTGACTTGCACATGAGGGACCGTATTAAGAAGAAAAAAAAAAACAAAACTGCTGAATCAGGAATGTAATTTACTCATTAAATGTATTAAATACTTTATACCATAATTAATGTTGAAATTTATGATATAATTCGTACTGAAAATAAAAAAAAAACAGTTGAAAATGCTCTTATAAAATCCCATTATTATGAAGATTTCATAAGAAAAACGTTTGACATGTTGATAAACATGGGAGAATAATAAGACATGTTTTCTATGAATGTGGTTGTAGAAAACCATAAAATCATGAATAAAAACATGAAAATGTTGACGTCATAAAGAAAAACAGAAACCAAAATGAGCGTGGCCAACAAGGAAGGAACACGTTACGTTTTGCTCCCAAAAGTCATGGAGGCCGTCGCCTTTCTTGCATTTCTCTAAAACCCACACCCTTCCTCCTCTTACTACCACCATTCTTTAGGTATGTCGCTTCTTCTTCTTCTTCTTCAATATCTATCTCCCACACACATAAACACCATCGTACCCGTACTCAAATGCGTTCTTGCTAATAAAATTCTTTCCTTTTTTATCCTTCTCTTTCAATGTATATGTTGATCCATCGAAAATGATCGGAAATTTCTTGTAAATTTGTTGCTTTTTGATTATTTTCTCTCAACTGTAGATGTTACAGGAACTAGTTTTCTAATAAATTTGTTCTTTTTTGTTTATCTCTCAATGCGAATGTTTGGCTCTTTAATTCTTTTTTCTATCTCATATTCCCGAATTTGAATGTATGGACTATGAAGTGTTTGTGATATTGCCTGAACAAGAATTCAAGCTGATATTGGTATTTTACTTGTGTGTGTGGCAGGGCATTGTGAAGTGAAGATTTTTTTTCTTTTTCAAAGTTCAGGTGATGTGAAATTTTGTATGAAATTTATGATCATAAGGACTAGTAAATATCAACAAAAACATCTTGCTAAAATGTATCGGAGTTGATTTGTTTTGTTTTGTTGCATCAAGAAGCAAGAAGAATACAGGGTACAATGGTTGTATCCAGTTTTGTCGATCTTGAGATGTGGAGTTAGTTCCTTATGTCGACATTTAATCCTGACCCTCGTTGGCTTCAGTTTCGTACTTGCAAGATCTTTCATTAGAAAGACCAAAAAATCCACACTTTGCACACAGCTGCTCTACTTGTTGGGGTTGATTTCATTACCAATCTTGTTCCACCTCCTAATTTTTGTTCCACGAATTTTGATTACATCAAGTATTTATTCTGTCATCTCCTGCGTACCAAACACACCCATAGGCATCAACAGCAGTGTCTGATACCCCTATGCATGCACCATGTTTGGATTCTTTGTAAACTGATTTGAATTGGTCAAGTTAATACAACAGTCCAAGTTACTGGGAGATTCTTGGAATTTTCAACAATCATTTTGTTTCTAGATCCCTTTGTAATTTATTTGTTTCCGTCTGTGGACTGGACCATGTAGCCATAGTAAAGTTACTTCTTTGTGACGGGAACAGGTTCGTGCCATGGAAAGAGTCTCTTTGCAAAGCGCAAAGTAAAGATTGGGTTAGAGTCGCACATCGGCTAGACTCATACCATTTCTCCTGAACATATATTCAAACCTCTCTTCTCTCCTCAAGAGATCTTTTAAAACGTAATCTAATGGGGTTTCGCATATTTTCGTGTACTGCGTAAAAAGACCGCCCTTCTTGACCCTTGCAATAATCAGGGTGGCCAACTTTAGAGCTTAGCAAGGTCACAATAGTATCTTGGAGCTACCATCAATTGATGAGCAAATCTATGTTACCTTTTGTTTTTGTATTTGCATACTGTATTCCATATGTTTTTTGGACCAGTGCTTAGCTGGAAAACTTGTCTTTTCTTTCAGTTTTTTCTTTGAAACCTTAATTTTTGTTTCCTATATAATATTCTCGTAACGATTTTACTTTCGTATACAAACTCATATATCTTCCATCAACTTCAGATTTACCATCTCGGGATTTCGAAGGTGGTTTGACTGTAATGGCATTTGCTAGAATATCAAGAAACTGGAGACGTTCATCAGGAACAGGCACCATTAACCGCTACATAAATAACAACGATATTCCTTCTTACAGCTCCTCAGATTCAACTTTGAATGCTAAAACATTTGGCAAGATGTCGTACTTAGAAAGCAAAACAAAAGTTGACCATATGAACTTTGAGGGCAGGGGAACACAGGCAATTCAAGGATATAGATTTGGTCATGCAGAAGGGATATCTGAGGATTATTCTGATTCAGAAACTGAGAATGTTCAGTATGCTAGTCTTGAAGCGACTAAAGCAGGCGACAAGCCTAGAGTAGTTGTTCTTGGTACTGGTTGGGCAGCATGTAGATTACTTAAAGGGATTGATACTACAATATATGATGTTGTTTGCATTTCACCTAGGAATCACATGGTTTTCACTCCTTTACTTGCATCAACTTGTGTTGGAACTCTTGAATTCCGTTCTGTAGCTGAGCCTGTTGGGCGTATTCAGTCTGCTTTGGCAAAAGATCCAAACTCTTACTTTTATCTTTCTTCCTGCTACCACATTGATACAGATAAACATGAGGTAAGCACATCTATAAACACACGCACACACGATGATACCAATGACTGTTTTTGTGTGTGTTTGGCAATGATAAGCTGAGCTTTTTGAGAAGTCCCTTTTGAATGGCCATAAACTAGCTTTTTGAAAAACTTCTTCAAGTAGCATTTCAATAAGCTCTGGACGTATTCTTCCACTTCTTCTCTTCCAATTATGGCCTTTATATTTTTCCAATTAATCTTAATAGGTGTCCTTGTAGGTTATTTTTACATTGTCATCTAGCTTATAAGCTAGTTTTTTTGATCAAACATGACTAGTTTATAAGCTAATAACTAGCTTATTAGCCAACAGCTTACCGGCTAGTTTGCCAAATACAACCCTAATCTAAAAACCCAGCTTGAGATTATTGTAACTGAGGTGGTGTTGTGATTAAACAGGTGTATTGTGAGACAGTTAGTGATAATGGACTTCCTCATGAACCTTCGCGGTTTAAAGTTGCATACGACAAGCTTGTAATCGCTTCTGGATCTGAGCCAGTAACATTTGGTATAAAGGGTGTGAAGGAGCATGCATATTTTCTTCGTGAAGTTCATCACGCTCAAGAAATAAGGAAGAAACTTCTTTTGAACCTGATGCTCTCTGAAAATCCTGGTAACAAGTTCTCTATATGCATCTTTATTCCTACTAACTGTTTGCACACACTCTTGCACAAGCCAGGGTTTTCATGGAAACAACCACTCTATTCTTTGAGATAGAGATCAGGTCGAGTAGGATTTACTAGTTTCATTTGGTTTGGTTTTACTGTTCCTGTAAATTGAGTGATGATTTGTAGAAGTCTTCAGAACTAAATGATAAAACTTTTTCAGGAGTATCTGAGGAGGAAAAGGAGCGAATGTTGCACTGCGTCGTTATTGGAGGAGGGCCAACTGGAGTAGAGTTTAGTGGTGAATTGAGTGATTTTATCGTTAGAGATGTTTGTCAACGTTATGCCCATGTTAAAAATTACGTTCGTGTCACCCTCATTGAGGTAATTTATTGTTCTTGTTTTGTTTATGTAAGCATGGTATGCTGTTTTAGTACAATATGCCTCGTGTTTTGCAACAGGCAAATGAAATTTTGTCGTCATTTGATGTTGGACTGCGGCAATATGCAATGAAACACTTAACAAAGGTAATTTATACAACATCGCTACTACTCCATTCATTTAGCTTTGTTTTGGCAGTTCATCTACATTTATCCAACATCATGAATATTGTCGGGGTCCCACATTGGCTAAACTTAAAGAATTTCTCCTCAATATATATTGAAACTTCCGTGCTTTCCTCAAGAGCTCTTTTGGACAGTATTCTAATGGGGTTCCATATATTTTCACATGGTATCAGAGTCAATGTCTACCATTCTAGAGACTCGACAGTCTAGAACAATTTGTATCCATCTAGTCCCTTCTCGACACTTTAGGGACAATTTGTGCGAGTATGGACTAGCCTCTGTTGGAGTCCCACTCGGGTGGACTTGAATCATTTCTCCTCAATATATTTTGGAACCTTCTTTTTTTTCTCAAGAGCTCTTTTGGAGGGTAATCTAAAGGAGTGCCACATATTCTTAGAGAAATGAGACCCACAAAATGGCCTAAATGAACTGAAGGACTTTGAATGCCACCTTCATTGAATGTCTTAACTATATCTAACAAGATATCACATATTAGTATGGTGTTCGTCTTGTTCGAGGAGTTGTCAAAGAGGTGCACCCAAAAAAATTGATTCTTAGCAATGGGAGTGTAGTACCTTATGGACTTCTGGTGTGGTCGACCGGAGTTGGTCCTTCTGAGTTCATAAAATCGCTGGATCTTCCTAAATCTCCAGGTGGAAGGTATGTTCTCCTCCCATTTTCTGCAGAAAGTTATTCTAATATGGAGTTAACTAATTTGCCGTAGTTACTATTTAGTGTAAGAAAAAGATTTCATTCAATGTAATAAAGTTCCAAACTTTCCTATGTAATGTAACAAAGCTTCAAGTTTTCTTATTTTTACCCCTTTTTGACCCTTAACCTGATCTTGTAACATTTGATAGTATAGATGTCAAGTTTATCTTCCACTTTTCCATAAACCTTTTGTTATGCATGACGTTAAATGTTACAAGATCAGTAATTTACTGGTCAAAATGATACAAAATAAGAAATTTTGGAACCTGGTTACACTACCGATTAAGAAAAAAAAGATTTGTTGTTACACTAAATAAAAAACTAAACTGAACTTTGATGCATTTTGCCATTAATTATATGAAGAAATTTCGTGGGGTTTTTGTAATATTTATTATATCGAGAAATCTGTTTGTAGGATTGGTGTGGATGAATGGTTAAGAGTTCCTTCCGTTGAAGATGTATTTGCACTTGGAGATTGTGCTGGTTTTCTTGAAAACACAGGAAGGCAGGTTCTTCCTGCTCTAGCTCAGGTTGGCTTAGTTGATATTTTTTCATTTTGGGTGGGTTTGACTTTAGAAAGTAAAAATGTGCTCAATGAATGTGAATAACAAACAGGTTGCTGAAAGAGAGGGGAAGTATCTTGTGGAGTTGTTCAATAACAAGATTGGGAAGCAAAATGCAGGCAAGGCTGGTTCTGCAAACGACCTTGTTCTTGGAGATCCCTTTGTTTACAAGCATCTTGGAAGCATGGCGTCCGTTGGACGCTATAAGGCCCTCGTTGATTTAAGCCAGTCCAAGGTAAAACACCCGTGTGAAATCTTGAAAAAATACTAGAAGGTTAGTTTTACCTTAAGACACCATATCCCTGTAAAATCTTGAAAGAATGCCAGTCAAAGGTAAAACATCATACCCCTGTAAAATATTGAAAACACACTAGGAGCTTAGTTTTATTTGAGACACTCGAAAATGAAACGTTGAAAACACTGAGGGCTCGTTTGGTTTGTGGAATTTCGTGGGATTTGGGAATTGGATTCCATTACAATCCCGCGTTTGGTTTAAAGGTAAGTCCTTGAAATCCCATTATCATGGGATTTAATCCCACAACCTCTCTATCCTCTTAGTTAGAGGCAAGGTTTGCTTACATCCTACTCCCTACCCTACCTTTGTGTGAGATGTACTGGGTTCAAATGGTTTGATTTATATCATATTGGTTTTAGTTTACTAGGTGTAGAGTAGAAGCCGGCAACAAACACCCGAGTTATGTTTCTGGTCTTTTATAACAACTATCACGATGTTTACCACACAGGATGCCAAAGGAGTCTCGATGGCAGGGTTCGTGAGCTGGCTGATTTGGCGCTCGGCTTATTTGACACGTGTCTTGAGCTGGAGGAACAGGTTCTATGTCGCAATCAATTGGGCAACAACACTGGTCTTCGGGAGAGATAATACAAGAATATGATGAACCAATTAGCTGCGGTGGCTTCAGCCAAACAAACATTTCACTTTGTATTATAGTATCCACGGAGACAACTGCTCTACTCTTTGGGATAAAGATCAGGTTTGTGTACGGGTGAGACATACTGAGCTTGTTTTCGGTTTCGGTGACTTGTAGTATGATCATAAATCTAAACTATCAATTTGTTATGAATCGTTTTAAATCACATAGAACTGTAAACCTTTTTTGGAACGAACTCCAAACCAGCAGCACTACTCAGGTTAGATTTTGACTTAATGAGCTTAATAGACTTCTAGCTTAATTTCTTAAGCCACATAAAGGTGTTTGATTTCAATTAAATTCATTCAGCACATTCATGGTGAGTTGACCCATTCAGCCAACTTCTGTTTTTCCATAAATACCCTTTTCCTCTTCTTCTTGGGTCTTCCATAGTTCCATTCGTGCAAACCCTTCAACTTTTCCAGCCCCATCTCAAAATAAAAGTAGAAATGAGAGTTAAGATACCGAATGGAAATTGAATTATATTTTGCCTAGAATTTAAGCTTAATGTGCATATGTAATTTAAATATTTCATTGTTATCGTTTAATATCTTAGATTTATTAAATTTGATTGCATGTTGTTTTTGGGAAGGCGACATTTTTATTACTAAAACTTAAACTTACCAAAATAGTTAAACACGATATCATCGAGCAATTGTGAGATGTAGTCATTGGATTACTAGTTTACATTTTGTTTTTAATGTGTTATTAAGATTAAAAATGTAATGTCATTCTAATTGTTTATTCAATAAAAAACAGTAATAATAATTTATTTATATTTGTATAGACGGGTTAATTATTACAACAAACTTAATAATACATGCAGGGACGGAACATAACTGTTGTAGTCCGGGGGAGAGGGGGGACGAATTATGAGCATCTTCAATATATTTTTCAAAATTGAGAAAATGAAGATTTTAGGCATATTTTTGCTCCAACAGCCTGTTGGAAATTTATAGGTTGGAAGTTAACCTTCCATCCCACATAAGTAGAAACTTAATTTCTAGAGAAGCTTATAAGACTTTATCTAGAAGTGGACTTTGAACATGTTGGTAGACTTATGGTGGAGGTCTTGAGTGGAAGTCTTGAGTGGAAGGCCCAACACACATGCGCGTGGCCGTGGCCGCGGGATTTGCGAGGAGGCACGCTTCGCACGCCGCATCGGAGCAAAAAGAGCCTTTCCCCGAGCTCCGAGTATCTTTTTGATAAAAATTTGTGAGGAGAAGGATAATTATCAGTTTTAATTTGGATAATTATCGGTTTTATTTGAAATTAATCAGATAAGACTTGGTATATATATATATATATATATATATATATATATATTAAAGAAAGAACCAAAAGTATTGAGGTGGCATCATGAGAATTGAGTATTGAGGTGTTGGTAAATTGTGATTGAGTTTAAGACATCCCACATTGGTGAAGAGTTGAAAATTTTGAAAAGGTGGATTGGATGTCTTTGTGTCAAATATGAGGTTTGCCTCATAAGGTTGTCTTTTTTTGGATGACCCTTTTGAAATCCAGAACCATGGTTGGAAACCAATCAAACCAAATGGTAGAAATTAGATATCCCACATTGGTGAAGCGTTGAAAATTTTGAATAAAATGAAGTGTATAAGAAAGGTGGATTCAATGCCTTTATGTAAAATATGATGTTTGCCTCATAGAGTTGTCTTTCTTTGGATGACCCTTTTAAAATCTATAACCATGGTTGAAAACCAATCAAACCAAATGGTAGAAATTATATGCAAAATTAATTGTATTATATTATTAAATCTTTATATATATATATATATATATATATATATATATAGGTGACACCATGAAGATTATAACTAATTATGGTTGAAAACCAATCAAACCAGATATCCCCTTTGTGTCAAATAAGAGGTTTGCCTCATAGGGTTGTCTTTTTTTGGTTGACCCCTTTTGAAATCCATAACCATAGTTGGAAACCAATCAAACCAAATGGTAGAAATTAGATATCCCACATTAGTGAAGAGTTGAGAATTTTGAGCAAAATGAAATGTATAAGAAAGGTGAATTGGATGTCTTTATGTCAAATATGAGGTTTGCCTCATAGGGTTGGCTTTCTTTGGACGACCCTTTTGAAATCTATAACCATGGTTGGAAACCAATCAAACCAAATGGTATAAATTATAGTCCAAAATTAATTATATTATATTATTAAATCTTTATATATATATATATATATATATATAGGTGACACCGTGAAGATTATAACTATCTATATATCTATTAAAAGAAGAACCAAGAGTATTGAGGTGACATCATAAAAATTAAGTATCGAGGTGCTGATAAATTGTGGTTGAGTTTGAGGTATTCCACATTGGTGAGAGATTGAAAGATTGAAATAAGGAGGTGTGTATAAGAAAGAATGATGAAAGTCATTGTTTCAACTCATGAGGCCTGACTCATAAGACTATCTTATTTGGATGACCCTATCTTTTTAAAATCAATCTTATATTGTGTCAACTCATGAGGTTTGAGTCATAAGACTATCTTATTTGGATGACCCTATCTTTTTAAAACAAATCTTATATTGTGTCAACTCACGAGGTTTGAGTCATAAGATTATCTTATTTGGATGACCCTATTTTTCAAAACAAATCTTATAT